TTCCTATGTTTACCTCCCTCTTCCAGATCAAAGTTGAAATGCTTAATAGCCCAAAAGGCTCGGTGCTCAAGTTCGACAAGTGACACGGCTTTCCAAATATTAGTCTATATGGGGACATGCCTAGGGAAGTCTTAAAAGCTGTACGGTAAGCCCAAAGTGCATCATTTAATCTTAAGGATCAATCCTTCCGATTAGGGTTCACCGTTTTCTCCAAAATTTGTTTAATCTCCCTATTCGCCAACTTTACCTGTCCACTTGTTTGGAGGTGATAAGCAGTAGAAATTTTGTGAATAACCTCATACATTTCATTAGAGCCTCAAATGAATGGTTANNTACAGAAATGTGTGCCTCTATCACTAATGATAACACGTGGTGTACCAAAACGAAACAAAACATTTTCTTTTAAAAACTTTACAACCGTTTTATTGTCATTAGCTCTACAAGCTACCGCTTCTACCCATTTAGACACATAATCGACTGCAACAATGATGTATAGATAGCCAAAAGAAGGTGGGAAAGGTCCCATGAAATCAATCCCCAACAATCAAACTCAATTACCAAAATGGGGTTTAAGGGCATCATGTTACGCCGGGAAACAACACCTAGTTTTTGACACCGTTCACAAGATCTACAATAGGTATTAGTGTCCTTAAACAAGGTGGGCCAATAAAAACTACACTGCAAATTTTTTACAGCGGTCTTTTTCATAGAAAAGTAGTCCCCACAAGCTTGAGTATTACATAAGTCTAGTATACTGGGTATCACTGTGAAAATAATGATGGGAGAGCCAATAAAATAAGATCGAAACTTATCAAGTACAAAGACTACAGCTAATAACTCCTTTTCAGTAGTGGAATAATTTATTTAAGCGCTAGCATAGTAAATCACAAAAGGTTCACCTTCCTTTCGTTGCCCTAGAACAACACCCACCGCAAAATCACTAGCATCACACATAATTTCAAATGACAATGTCCAATCAGGTGGTTGCATTATAGGTGCGGAGGTCAATTTACCAATCAACAGTTCAAAAGCATTTTGACATTCAGGTGTCTATTCAAAGGTCACATCTTTTTAAGCAAGTTACATAAGGGTCTAGATATAGAAGAGAAGTTTTGTATAAACTTCCTATAAAAACCTGCATGACCAAGAAATGATCTAATGTCCTTTAC